TATATATATATATATATATATATATATATATATATATATTTCCTATATATAATATTTATCTTTTAGTTACTCAACTATTCAACTATATTGTCATAGTAAATTGTAAAAAAAAAAAAAACATGTGCAGTTGATTTAATATTTTACATTAATGACACAAATGCAAATTGTTCTTAAGGAGGCTTCTTCCCCATCTTAACCTACCTTATGAAAACATTACCAAAGTTGTGTTAGAGAGTTGTTTATTAACGTGTCAGGTGTCATTTCATTCTTCAGACTGTAGAGGGCAGTTTTGAAAGGAAACACTATAAACTAGAACAAGGAATTAATACATGCAGCACATAAACAGATCAATTGGGTAACGCTTTAGATTACAACCCGCAAAGAACTATGTAAGTATACTGAATTTACGGTGTACGTTTCTGTAACTATAGTGTATCTATAAAGAACATACGTGTTTTAAGTGTAATAAGGGGGTAACAACCAGATATGCAACCTGCAAAGAACTGCGTAAGTAAACTGAAGTTACAGTGTAACTTTTTTGTAGTTATAGTGTACCTATTCAGTACCTCTGTCTAGGTATTAGGGAATAATATACGACGTTTGGGGAATAAAGTTTGGGGAATAAAATAAAATACTGTAAGTATTTTGAAACTAAGAGGTGCTTATTCTAAAATTACGTGGTATGTATGGCCTAAACAACAATCTTATGTTTGGGAATGATTTAGAAAGACAATATATACTTTTTATAATTTCATATTGGCATTTTATTATAGGCGTATAGGTATTTTTTAACCATGGGGTACACATTCTATTATTAAAGTATGGACATGATGGAGATGACTGAACAACAAAACTGGACATCTAGTGAAATTAGTTAATGAGTTTCTGCCATGATTTGGAATTCACGAGTCTACTTACCTTATGAAAGCTTATTCGTCGATTTCAGCAACTTCACACCAGCAACACCACTATCACCAAATAACTTTGCATGATATACCATCAAGGTTCAATGCAGCT